CACTGACCTATTTTTACTTTGATAATTCATTGTTCACTGATTTGAAATGAGAAACTACCTCATTTTACTTATTTTATGATGGAAAATGACTGCTTACAAATGTCGATCCATTTATTGTAAAATCCTTCCCCTGCTGTTTCCTCTCGACTTGGTCTTTGCACGGTAGTTGGTACTTTTTCCAAAAAAAAAGTGAAACAAAGCATGCCCCCACCATGATTTTACACTAAGAGAACATTCCTCCCGTCCCTTCCCTGCCCCCACATGTCAGACGGGAGGGGGGACCCCTCTGCCCTTCTAACCCCACTTCCTCCACCCTGAGACTCTTGGGGCTCAGCTGTGGGTCACTTCTACTCTTAGGAAGATGTTTGATGATGTTTGGTTGATAGTATAGCCCTGTGTGATTTCAGCAGGGGCAGAAGGTAGATTTTTAGTGGTTCTAGTTAGAGACAGGGCAGCTGTCGTGAGTCTGGTCCCCTCTCAATGGACTGGGGCCTCAATGTGGGCGACATGCATTCAGTGGGGCTCAGGAACACAATTGGCTGTGTTAGAATTTCCAGCTGGTCACCCAGAGCGAGAGGTTGAAGAGCATGAGCTGCTCATGGGTGCCACTTGCTGCCCACACCCTGTGTGCTCACCAGCTGCTGTGTGGGCCGTCACCCCCATGAGAGAAGCACCATTCATTCATTCATTCATTCACGTTGTTACACAATAGTGAATCTATAGGGGAACTGTATTACCTAAGGGTTGTACATTCAGTGATGAATACAGAGAAACGGTCCTTGTCCTCGCACAGATTGTGGTCCTCGCACAGATGCACACGGATAAACCTGGATAAACGCTTTGACAAAAATGAAAGTAGTGTATACTTTCATGTCAAAAATGAAAGTAGTAGAGCAAGATGGGGTGAGCCTGCTTACCTGGGGCAGTCAGGTAAGACTACAGAGGAGGTGACATTGAAATTAGCACCAAAGGAAGGAGGCTCGTTCTGAGAGGACCAGGAGATTGGACGTAGAGCAGCTTGAGGCCACGCAGGGGTTCATGGGAGCCAGAGGCATGTTTGCTCCATTCTGTGTTTGTGAGACAAGAGCCCCAGTGCGCACCCAGCTGCTCAGGGCCACCCAGTTCGCACGGGTCACTTCAGCCATAGTCACAGACCTGTGCAGAGCCAACGGGAGGAAACACAGACTCCAGCTTCTGGTGAGAGGACAAGCCCGTATGACAAGGGGCCTTGTGGGGCCATCTTGGAACAGTCTCTGGATTCGTTTGCTAGGGCTGCAGCAGCAAGTTGTCACAGACCGGGGGGGGCTTAAACAACAGAAATTTATTGCCTCAAAGCTCTGGAGGCTGGAAGTCCAGGATCAAGGTGTGGGCAGGGTTGGTTCCTTCTGAGAGCTGTGAGGGACGGATCTATTCAAGGGATCTCTGTCTTCTCTCTCTCTCACTTCAGATGGTCTCCCTCTCCGAGTGTCTGTCTCTGCCCACAGTTCCCCTTCTTTTTATTTATTTATGTTTTTGGCCGAGCCGTATGACTTGTGGGATCTCAGTTGCCCGACCAGGGATCAAACCCAGGCCCTTGGCCTTCCCTGGTTGCGCAGTGGTTAAGAATTCGCCTGCCAATGCAGGGGACACAGGTTCGAGCCCTGGTCCAGAAAGATCCCACGTGCCTCGGAGCAACTAGGCCCGTGTGCCACAACTACTGAGCCCACGTGCCACAGCTACTGAAGCCCGCATGACTAGACCCTGTGCTCCACAACAAGAGAAGACACCACAATGAGTAGCCCACACACCGCAACTAAGAGTGGCCCCTGCTCGCCACAACTAGAGAGATCCCAGGCACAGTGGCGAGGACCCAACGCAGCCAAAAATAAATAAGTGAAATAAAAACCAAAACCAAACCAAACAAAACAAAAAAACCCCCATACCCTAAGCAGTGAAAGAGTGGAGTCCCAACCACTGGACTGCCGGGGAAGTCACAAATTTCCCCTTGTTGTAAGGACTCCAGTCTTTTTGCGTTAGGGCCCACCCTAATGACTTCACTTTAACTTAATTACCTCAGTGAAGATCCTATCTCACAGGAAGGTCACACTCTGGGGTACTGGGGGGAGGGTTAGAACTTCTACATGAATTTTGGGGGAACACAATTCAACCCTTAACACCCTCCAATGGCTGTGTCCTGTTTCCTGCAAGATGCTGACTGATCCGCTGGCTGATGAGAAGTAAGATGCAGTCTCACCTCTTCCTTGAGCCCAGCTAACATTTCCTTTCAATCCTTATCTCTGGGGAACACTAGAAATCAACTCCTTTCGCTCAACGGTTAGGATTCTGGGGGACGTGGAGCATCTGTCAGCAGTCTGCCAAGATGGCGGCCGGAGAAGGACAGGATGACGGGGGACATCGCGGGCCCAGGCTCGGGGACTGCAGTACAGTGCCACCTTCAGGGCCGTTGCCTCTCCAACAGGTCCACCAGCCTGACTCTCCAAGAGAGTGTAGGCCCTGTGAGGACAAGGATCTTGCCCTCACATCTGCCGTGGCATCTGCAGTGCCTGGCAGAGCAGGAGCAGGGTGGATATGTGTTGAACAGATGGGGAAACAATGATTTCCCCCAGGGTTTTGGGCTCACGCCCCTTTATGCGGAGAAAACTTTGTTTCCCTCAGTGGCTTGGTTTCTGTTTGTGCGCTTCCTCTGTTTCCGGGTCCGTATGGATGCCTCCTAAGTGCCTCTGGAGAAATATAGGAGTGGAGTTATAGGAAAGAATGTTGGGCCTGTGTTAGCCTGTTGGGGCTTCCATAACAAAGTCGCACCGACTGGGGGGCTTAACACAACAGAAATTCATTTCTCACAGTCTGGAGGCGAGAGGTCCAAGATCAAGGTGTCTTTAGGGTGGGTTTCTGGTGAGCCCACTCTTCCTGGCTTGTAGATGACTGCCTTCTTGCTGTGTCCTCACATACATGGCCTTTTCGTGTATGTGCAGAGATAGATAGATAGATAGATAGATAGATAGATAGATAGATAGATAGATAGATAGATAGATATGGGAAGTCCCTGGTGGTCTAGTGGTTAGAACTCCACGTTCCCAATGAAGCGGGCCCTGGTTTGATCCCTGATCTGGGAACTGGATCCCACATGCAGCAACTAAGACCGGGGAAGCCAAATAAATAAATAAATATTTTAAAAAATAAAGTAAGATTAAAAAATAAAAATTAGATAAGAGATACAGATAGATTAATAGATGATAGATGGATAGTTAGGTAGCTAGATAATAGGTAAACAGACAGACAGACAGACAGAGTGAGCTCTGGTGTCTCTTTCTCTTCTTATAAGGACACCAGTCATATAGGATTAAGGCCCAACCCTTATGACTTCATTTAACCTTAATTACTCCCTTAAAGGCTCTACCTTCAAATAGAGTCACATTGGGGGTTAGGGCTTCAACATACGGATTTGGGGGAACACAATCCAGTCCATAACTGGGCCAAAGTGCCTGCTTAGTGAGCTGGAGAATGGGGAGCAGACAGTGCTGAGTGCCCTTTGCAATGCAATTCTGACATCAGCTACATGGAGTTAGGTAAACTGTCACAAGTTAAGGGCACAGCCCCCTTCCCCCCCAAAATAACACTGCTCATTTCAGATTGCAAGCTCAGATAGTCCCAGGCCACCTGTATTTCTGACCAATTGGCCACAGATCTGGGGGGTCCCCAAGCCCCCTCAGGCTGAATGACTTGGTAGAAATACAGAACTCAAGAAAGCTCCATCCTTATGATTCCAGTTTTGTTGCAAAGGCTACAAACCAGAAGCAGTCAAATGAAGAGATGCCTGAGGGGCGATGGGGTCCCAGATGCGGGGCTGCTGTGTCCTCAGCATGCATTGCCCTCCTGCACGCCCACAGTGCACCAGCCTGGGAGGTTCCTCGGAACCTCTGTGTGCACAGTTTCCACTGGGGTTTCATTACTCAGGACAATTGCTGGGACCACTGGCTCAGTGCTTGGACTCAGCCTCGGGCCCCCCTCCCCGCCCTGGGGATTGTGCTGGTATCTCATGGCCTAAAGCCCTAAGCTTTGAATCACACGGTGGGGCTTTCTTCATGGCCAGCCCCCATCCTGAATCACTCATTAGCATAAACTCAGGGTCCCCCATGAATAACTAAGACACTCCTATCACTTGGGAAATTCCAAGGATTTAGAGAGACTCCCTTCCAAGTGCCAGGGACAAAGAGCAGCCAGTTCTTTTCTGTACAACCCCTTGTTCCCCACACAGCGTCTTATTTATAGACCTGAGAATGCAGGTGCAGGTCTGGCCAAGGAGTGGGCCCCCAGGACCACTGAGCTCACTTACGCCTCCTCTCCCGATCCCTGGGGAGATCATCATGAGGAGGAGGGGGCAGAGGGCCAGGGCAGGGCTGAAGTGGGTAAGGGTACTCTACCTCCATTTCCACCTGCCCTGGGCCCCCCCGCCAAGATGCTCCCTTCTAGGAAGCTGCTAGTCACTCCAGCTTTACTCCAGGAGGAAAGGGGCTGGGTTTGGGTGGAGGGCATGCTAGGGACATGGGAGTGGACAGAGTGGCCCCCTCACCCCCAGGGCCCCTTACACTTTCTGCAGCACTAAGCAGGTATTTTCCACCCTGAGTACCTCTCCTCTCTTCCCGGTTCACCAGGCACATAAATGTGCACAAGAACCTTATTCTGTGGGGCTCATCTTCTTCAGGGGGATGTTGAAGTTACCCCTCAGGGACTCAAGCCTGGCCTCCTGGGCACTGGCCCGCGAGCTCCAAGCAGGTGCTTCCTCCCTAAACGCTTCCATGGGGCCAAGGCAGGAGCTGCAAAGGCCACCACGGGGCCGTCCCCCTAACCAACAATGCAAACCCAAGAAGTCTGGGATGGCCACTGGGAACTGGGCGTGCAACGGCCCCACCCCTGGGAGGGAGGAGGAGGGTGCTGGCGCAGCCCCGCGAGGGCCCGGGGCCCCAGTGCACACTGGAGGCAGAGCTCTGCTCGGCTGCACCATGTCCTGGACCCCTGTCCTGCTGGCGCTCCTGGCCCACTGCACAGGTGAGAACCCCCAGAGCTCAAGGCCCCCGGCCCCTTCCCTTGCCCTGCTTTGCCCTGGATGCCCACATGCTTCTGTGTCCCCAGCTTGTGGCCCTCAGCCGGTGCTGAATCAGCCGCCATCCGTGTCCTCGTCCCTTGGAACCACGATCCGCCTGGCCTGCACGCTGAGCAGCGACCATGATGTCGGTGTTCACAGCATCTACTGGTACCAGCAGAGGGCCGGCCACCCCCCAAGGTTCCTGCTGAGATATTTCTCCCACTCGGACAAGAACCAGGGCCCCAAGGTCCCCCCTCGCTTCTCTGGCTCCAAAGACCTGGCTAAGAACACAGGGTATCTGAGCATCTCTGATCTTCAGCCGGAGGATGAGGCTGTGTATTTCTGCGCCGTGGGGGCCGGAGACATGGAGCAGGGGCCGGAGATGCAGAGAGAGAGGAGGGAGGAAAGGGAGCCTGCTGCTCCAGCCTCCCAGGCACCATAGGACACGCTTACCTTGAACCAAAGGCAGAAGGGCACGCCTCCCCGAGGAGAGGGTGGTGTGGCGAGGAGGGTGGGGTTTTGGGCTGCCCCAGGTGAGGAGAAGTTCCTGGAAACCCCTTTGGAGGCTGGATTCGGGAATTAAATCTGCTTGTGTCTTGGGAATTTGTTTTGCTGGGTGGTCTGAATTTGTTCCAGGGAGGCCCCAGATGTTCTGCGAACAGTCAGAATGAGTGGGACGCACCCAAGACCCAACCAGGGTGAAGGTCTCAGGAGACCTGGCCGGTCACGGTCTGCTTGGCCAGAGCCCCTGGTCTTGTGGGTCCTGGGAGGCAGGGGGCTGCCATAGCATCTTGGGGGATGCCCCTGCCAGGGACAGGACCCCCTATTGTCACCTGATTGTGCACAGGGTAAGCTGCTTAGAAAATGCCTTCATTGGGCCTCTGGGGAGGAGAGCCGTGCCCAGTGATAGGGGTGGTCTAGGTCCTCCACTGGGCCAGATGGCTCTTTGCTGTAGAGGGGCTGTCCTGTGCACTGCAGAATGTCGAGCAGCATCCCTGGCCTATACCCACCAAACAACCTCCTGCCCCTCGTTATGACAACCAAAAATGTCTCCAGGCATCACCAAAGGCCCCCAAGGTGGCAAAACCACCCCACCTGAGAGACACTGGTCTAGGAGAGAGAAAGACGTTTCCTCTTCTGTGCAGGAAAGCGGCAGGGCTGGAAAATATTTTCTGTAAAGAGCCATGTAGTAAATATTTTTGGCTTTCTGGGCCATGTGATCTTTGTAGCAACTACTCATTTCTGTCCTTATGGCTCAAAAGCATCCACAGACAATATGTGGACACGCGGGCATGGCTGTTTCCTATTAAACTTTATTTAGAGAAACAGACAGGGCTGGGCTGGATGTGGCACTCAGGCCATACTTTGCTGACCCCTGCTCCAGAGAAACACCCAGTTCCTGCCTCTAGGTTTCAGCCAAACCACACTCGGTGGGGTGATCAAGGTCACTCCTCCTGCCTGAGGACTCCAGGATACTAACCCTCTGGACCCTTGGAAGACCCGGGGGCAGGAGGGATACAAGGCGTGTGCGTGGCCTTGCCGATGAGCTTGTTGGGTAAAGAGGGAACAGTGGGTTCCTGCTACCCTGGCCCACATCTGCACCCTGAGCCCCTGGGTGGTGAGCCAGTGTGTGCCCTGCAGAGAGGGACCCTGTACACCCACGTCCACACCACGTGTGGACATGCCTCCCACTCAGAGAGGTGCCAGGCAAACCATCTCCCCTGTGATCCAAACTTGGCTGAGAATGTCCATTTATCATGGCTGAAAAGACCTCGAAGGGTACATTCATGTCAATATCAGCCCTTCCATGTGTGGCCTGCGACGCCTGTAAGACAATGGTCTCAGCTCCGGCCAGTTCCCAGCACCCTTTGGGCTTCCTCTCTGAAATGCACTGAGTTCTTCCTGCATGGAGCCTTTGTCTCCTGGCAGGGGCCTCCAGGCCCAGGTTTCCAAAGGCCATCTAGGTGGTCCCCAAAGAACTCTGTCACCTGCTTGTAACCTGTTCTTCCCTTGCTTTCATCCTTTGTGATTCCGGGATTCCAAGCCACGACAAGAAACCCAGAAAGCAGGGAGTCAGGTCAGCTCCTCCATCATCCCAGCACGCCTGCCTCACCATATTCCTGGAGGATGGGACCTTGGACCCGGGCCTCGGGCCAGGCAGAGCATGAGTCTTAGCTCTGGTCAGCCGCAGAAGGGTCATTTGGATGCTAGGCCAACATTTCCAGTGTTGTTTGTAAAGAGGATAATAATAGCACCAATTAATTTCTATAAAATGCTTAACCTGCACTTGACTGTAACGTGTGCTCAACAAAGTAGTGGTATCATTTCCTCATCAGTCACCAGGCCTGGCCTCCCCCTTGTCTAAACCTTTCCTTTAGTCTGAGTCATTTCTTACCCGGCCAAAATCTGACCTCCTGCCCATCATCCTGCTGCAGCCTGGATCCTCCATTCCTCATCTTTATTACTCCCAGATCCAGCCTTGCCTGCACTCCTCCGCTCTAGCCTCGATTGTCTCCCACCCTCAAAGGTACGGATGCAAGCCCCATCTGCCATTTCCAATTTTCCGGTGGCTACATTTTTTAAAAAAAGATAAAAAGAAACAGATGAAATGATGTTTAATAGCATATTTTATTTAAACCAATGCATTTCAAATATTATCATTTAAACATGCAATGTACAATTAGTTATGAGATGGTTAACTCTTTTTTCATACTATATCTTCAAAACCCAGTGTGTATTTTATACTCGGGGCTCATCTCAATTTGGACCGGCCACATTCCAAGTGGTCCACGGTTGCCTTGGCTGTGACAGGACAGTACAGGTTGAAGGGGTAAAATTGACTCCATGTTGTGACACAGCCTTTGGAGACTGGCCCAGATTCTGTCCCAAGTCCCATTTCTTGTGCGCTGCCCTCACCATCTGTTTCTGCTGATGCTCTCGGTTGCTTCCAAACCTCTGTCCAAGCCATCTACTTGCCAGTGGACTTCCTGTCCCTTTGCCATGACCCCCAGCTGGCTGCACTGACTCTGGGGTCCGCAGTTATCTCCACTGTCACTCCTTGGGCAAGACTTCCTTGACCTCTTTATGCAGTTAATAACTTCCTGCGATGTGCAAACATCATGTTTTCCTAACTATATTTAGCACCTGCTGTGCAGCTCTGAACTTAGTTTGCAAGTCTCTCTCCTCTACTAATCCGTAAATTCTCAGTGGGAAGGACCTCTTCATCTCATTTTCTGGGTCTGATATACACTGATAACAGAGTTGAGTAAATGGATGTATAGACGAATGCAGGACTGAATGAATTCTTGGGTCCCAAAGATCTCATCATTCCGGGACCCCATTAGACAGCTGGGGTCATTGTGATTCCCTAAGAAGGGAAAACTTGCAAATCCAGTGATCATATCCAGTAATCAGGAGTGATGTGGAAGGAAAAGATTGAAAAAGGTCAATGCAGGGAAGGGAACATTTGGGAAACTTTCTGAATTGTTAATGGAGGTGAGAGATGTGGGATAGGGTGGGGTTCCCAGATTGTTGGGATTTGCTGCCTGGTACCCAAAGAGCTCCCCCACCCCCAAGTATCACAGCAGGGTTCCTGACTGTGACACAGGACAGGGGTGCAGGGGTGCTGAGAGCTGTGGTCTGTGCACAGAAATGCTTGACGCTGCTCCCAAGTCTGACCCAGAAACACAGAACCCAGCAGGCTTGGACATGTCACCAGCGGTACTGAAGACCAGAGGCCTGAAATTCTGACCTGGGTTAGACCTCCAGATCCTCAGTGGAGAGGATCTGAGGAAGGCCCAGGGGTCTTGGGGGATGGAACGTGCCAGTCAGACAGAGTGAAAATGCAAGGGCTCTCTGTGCACACAGAGGCCGGTGTGGTTGTGATGGGATTGTCACGATGAGCTGGGGCAAGTGGCCCCACATAAAGAGGGGGGTGGGATTAACACTGAGACGCCCTTTAGGGCATGAAGGGCCCTTGCGTCTTATTCTAAGTTGCATCACAAAAATTTTGTGATGCACGCCCAATGACCAGATTCATTCATTCACGACGGGATGTAAAACGAGGATATTTTCATTCTAGCAAAACTATGAAGAAAACGTCCCCTCCTCAGTGATTTAGGCACCCAAGGGACTGTTCACATAGTAAAGGCAGGATAAATGTTTGATCTTTTTTCCCTTTATTTACCAGTCATAGAAATCACAAGTCAGTGTGCCAGCATCTTCCAGGTTCGTGGGCACAAGATATTTGAGGTGTTTAAATCCATTGCAATTATGGTAAGTTGTTCTGTCTTTGGGTAGCACAAGCCCATTCAAATTGGTGTCTAACCAGGAACATGACAATGTGTCAAAAACAGTCCATTTACGTTTGTCTTTAAAAAATTTGTGCCAAGGTACCTTCACTCCAGCTAATTCTCTAAAGGATGATGATTTTTTTTTTTTTGGCGTGTGGATCTTTATTATTGTTGTTGTTGTTTTCTTTTAAAAAAATTTTCCCATTCATTTTTTATTAATTTAATTTTTATTTTATATTGGAGTATAATTGATTCACAGTGTTGTGTCAGCTTCAGGTGTACGGCCAAATGATTCAGTTATACATATACATATATCCATTCTTTTTCAGATTCTTTTCCCATTTAGGTTATTGCAGAATACTGAGTAGATTTCCCTGTGCTGTACAGTAGGTCCACATGGATCATCTATTCTACAAACAGCAGTGTGTATACGTCAATACCAAACTCTCAATTTATCACTCCCCCCAACATTTCTCCCTTGATAAACGTTAAGTCTGCTCTCGATGTTTCTGCTCCTGAGTCTGTTTCTGTTTTGTATACAAGCCCACCTGTGTTGGGTTTTTTTAGATTCCACATATAAGTGATATCATACGATATTTATCTTTCTCTGTCTGACTTCACTTAGTATGATATTCTCTAGGTCCATCCATGTTGCTGCAAATGGAATTATTTCATTCCTTTTTATGGCTGAGTAATATTCTCTTGTGTGTATATGTATATATATACACACACACATCACATCTTCCTTAAAAGGACAATTATTATTACACCCTAAATGGAGAAAGAGCACAAGAATGTGAAAATTTTGAAATCCTCCATGTGATACTGGTAGTTACTAAGCCAGGATCCCAAATAGTTTACTCACCCAAAAGAAGAAAAATTAAGGATAAGTTCAGGATAACAGTACCCACCTTACACCACTCTCTCAAAATTAAAGAAATAAAAATAAAAAATAAATAAAGTTAAAGCTCTGTTTCATGCCCTCAAGGCATAATGGTGCCGGAGGCCGGGAGTTGGGAGCAGGGTTCTCCTCCGCAGGACTATTTGGACTGCAGCTGAGGGAGGTGGTGCTGGGAGGGTGGTCGTCCTCACAGGCCGACCACGACCGCTCCTCTCCCTCCCTCCACTTCCAGTGACCGCCGTCCACCTGGGGAGTCTGCAAAAGCCCCTCAAACCCGAACCCTTCTCTCATTTCCTGCATCTCATCAGTACGTCCTTGACCCAGAAACGCGGCTTCCCGGGGCTCTACCCTCCGACAATCCAGTTCAACCTCAGCTTCAGTTCAGTGGACGTCAGAGCTGTCCCTGGGAATCGCCCCTCCGGCCGCGGTGACCACCGACGGCCTCCATCACCCACTGGACAAGTGCAGACACCGCGACCAAGGCCGCCAGGGGGCAGTGCAGAGTGCCCTTTACACCCCGTTACGCCATGTGGGTCCACAGGCTGGCAGCGGCAGCATCACCTGGGAGCTTGTAAAAAATGCCATGTGTCCTGGTCACCCCAGACCTGCTGAGTCTGAACTCGCATTTTCACAAGATCCCTGGTGGTTCCACGCACGTGAAAGTCTCAGAGCACTTCCTGCGCCCTTGTCATCTGGTTCAACCTCACTAAGGCACTCTCACCCATGTGGGCAAGCAGGTGATGCTCTGGAGATGCTTCTCAGGAGCACCTGGAAACCAGAAGCAACGTAACAGGTGTGCCTGTACGCACAGAGCACGCTCACCTCCCACGGTTGACCTCTGGCTCCTTCTGGCTCAGAAGCGCAGGCCCTTCCCTCCCACTCAGACCCGGATGTTTGGGCATTTCGACCACCCTCCAGCTGTGGCTTCGCAGCCCTGACTCCCGGATTGCAGCTGCCCTCCTGGCAGCCCCGCGCCCCACACCCCGCGTCCACTTTCTCAGCCCTCTCCCGACGGAAACTGGAGGCCTCTCCCTGGAGGGGCTATTGCTGCGGCCTTGGTTTCCTCAATCCCACGGACCACCCCTCACTCTGAGCTTTGCCGCCCAGGGAAACAGGGATATGGCGCTGCCAGCAGCACCTCTCTCTCCGTCAAAACCGCCTGCCGCAAGGACTACTGGATGAGTGGGACTACTGATTTGTTTCTTGTGAATCTGTGTAGACCCAGGCCTGAGAGATGCCTGAAATGCAAACGACCCTCCATAAAAGGGATGAATGTTCCCTGGGAGGTGTGACCAGGGCCAGGCGGCAGTGCTGTAGGCATCGGAGAGCAACAGGAAGGAGGGGGCTCTGCTCCTGTTTCTGCTCTGAGCCGCCTGAAGGGGGCGCCCACGGCGGGAGGCACGTATGGGGCCAGTTCTGGGGCCCTTACCACATCTCAGACCCAAAGGCAGAGCCAGCCTTCCCTGAGGCAGGAGGGCAGAGGGAGAACCCCTGCGGGGTGTGGGGAGCCCAGCGAGATGGCCGCGCCCCTAACTGGGACCAGCGCCTCAGATGCACAGGGAGCCACAGCAAAGACAGGAGGGGTCAGGTTTGCATGAGCCACGATGAGAGGGTCTGGTAGGTCCTGCCCAGCTTCAGGTGCAGAAGACAGAGCTCGGGGCATCTCCACCATGGACTGGACCCCTCTCCTGCTCCCCTCCTCACTCTCTGCACAGGTGCTGTGCACGGCCCGCCCCCCCCCCCCCCCACCCCCCGCCGGGGGGGGGGCCCCGCCCCCCCCCCCCCCCCCCCCGCAGCTGCTACAGGATCAGCCTGAGGGTGGGAGCCCCTGGGAATGGGCCTTCATCTTCAAGTCCCCTCTCCCCTCCTCTCTCTCTCTCATTTTAAAAAATATTTATTTATTTAACTAAGATGCACCGGGTCTTAGTTGCAGCATGTGGGCTCCTTAGTTGTGGCGTGTGAAATCTAGTTCCCTGACCAGGGATCAAACTCTGGCCCCCTGCATGGGGAGCGCAGAGTCTTAGCCACTGGACCACCAGGGAAGTCCCCTCTCCTCCTCTCTTACAGGCTCCACGGCCTCCTATGAACTGACCCAGCAGCCCTCAGTGTCAATAGCCCCCGGAACAAGGTCAGGATCACCTGCTCAGGAGGTAACGTCATGCATAAACTTGCATCTTGGTACCAGCAGAAGCCGGGCCAGGCCCCTGTGTTGTTCGTCTATGACAATAGCAACCGGCCCTCAGGGATCCCTGACCAATTCTCTGGCTCCATTCAGGGAACACAGCCATCCTGATCATCAGCGGGGACTGGGCCGAGGCCGAGGCTATTACAGTGCCATCTACCATGGCAGTGGGAGCCGTGACTCATGGTGACGTGACAGACGGGGACTCAAGGCATGAAACTGCCCCCCCCCAGCCACCCCGGCCTGGTGCTCACAGTCCACGCCCACTCCTCCCCTGCCACCTCCACCCTGGACCAAGAAGGTTCTACTCCTTCTCCACCCAAAGTCACATCACTGCACCTAAACAAGGCCCTAACTTTCAGTGTCCTCGTCTGGGAAACAGGAATCATAATGACCAACCATGGGGTGAGCTGTGTGAGCCAGGGTTCTCTAGAGAAACGGAACCAGCAGGGTGTGTGTGTCTATAAATAGAGATTTATTTTAAGGAATTGCTTACATGGTTGTGGAGATGTGAGTCCAAAATCTGCAGGATGGACCGGCAGGCTGGAGACCCAGAGAAAAGGGGCAGTGAATCCATCTGCTGCAAAATTCCTTCTAGCTCTGGAGAGGTCAGTCTTTGTTCTCCTCAGGCCTTCAGATGACTGGGTGAGGCCCACCCATATTAGGGAGGTAATCTGCTTTACTCAAAGCATCAATTTCATGTTAATCCACTGATTTCAGTGTCAATCTCATCCAAATAAACCCTCACAGAAACATCCAGAATAATGCTTGACCAAATATCTGGGCACTGTGGCCCAGCCAAGTTGACACATAAAATTAACTCTCACACTGGCCTTAAATAAACAAGGGTGACTACAGCGTCACTCTCACATCGAATGAAACCTCCAGACCTCTGGGCTTTGGAGAATGTTTTCAACCTTCCACAGTAGCGGAGACCACCCCCAGAGAAGGGCTTGGGAGTCATACAGCAGATCTAGTGATCCCAAGAACCTGGAATTTTCTAGAACGTTCACACCTGGGACTTGGAGAAGATGGACCCACGTGTCTGCTCTGGAGACGACTTGGGAGAGAGGAATCCTGGTGGCCACAGGAGGAGTCTCTGGGGACTGTGGGATGGAGAATGGACACGGGGCTGACCAGGAGGAGGCAGGGGGTGCCCTCTGACACGGGAGCAGGGCAGAAGTGACTGGACATGACACACTCCTCTGCTCCAGGGGAGACGGGTGGGGGCGGGGCACAGAGGAGCCAGGGACCCTGAGCAGGGGGTCTGATGAGCAGGACATCTGGACCCAGACCTCTCTGGCTCGGCCTGAATCCAGCCCTCGGCCATTCTCGGTCCAGGGACGGGGTGGGGACAGGCCCAGGAGACCAGAGCTGCAGCTGCACCAGCTGGGAAGGCCCTGCCTATCCCCCGAGGGTCTCCAGGGACCAGCCAGACCCGGATTTCCAACCATGGCCACCACAGGAGGATGTGGTTTGTAGCAACAGCAGGTGCAGGGCAGGTTATGGGGAGTAGCTGGGGTCACTGAATTCAGGGACAGCCCCTTCTTCTCCCCGAGACCTGGGGCTATCCTCGGGGGAACCGCAGCTTCTGGGCCCCGGGCAGTGGGTGAGTGTCACACCCACACAGGGGTGCGGGGAGGGAGCAGATTCAGCCTGGACCCTGGCAGGAACCCCACCCCAGGCCCCAAGGTACAAGGAACCCAGGTATGAGGCTGGAGTGGGCCAAGCACCACATGGGGAGAAGCTGGACTGGATCAGGGCCTCCCAGGGACTCCCCTATACCCCATGTCACGTGTCAGGGCACCCGCACCCAGTTACCGTTCAGTGCTGGCCCATCTTCCCAAGGACCGTGAGGTCTTGGGATGCAGTACCTGGCCTCGGGGATGCCCGGTCAGCGTGTGTGGGACATGAGGATCTAAGCAAAGTCACATCGGTCCACGGAGTCTGACCTCATGGTGGCCTTCTTGAACTCCCTGTGATATGGGGAAATCAGTCTGTCTGCTACGCATCCCATGACCACGGTAGGACAGATGCCAACAGGATGTCTGGAATGGCCCAACTCCACTAGGGCACGTGGCATCCATGAAATTCACTCTGGGGGCCCCTGGGGAGAACCTCACAGAGATGGACAAACCATCAGGACCTGAAGCAAAGAGTGGTTTCAAACACGAACTCCATCCAGTTTGAACTTGAACTCAAGTTCAAACACAAACTTGATGTGCAAGGGCAGATTTGACAAGGAGCTCCATCTCCTACACACAACTGGACCAGGACTGCGTTTTCCAAAGGTTTTTCTATCAAAAGCCCCAGTAAGAAATGCATTTCCCATCACTATCCAGTGTGTATCTATGTTTTCGGATAACTGAGGCAGGACCCCACGAACCAGCTGCCCCCCCCTCACGTGGACGTCCTCTGTTCTCCGTCTGCTCTGGATGACCTCACTGTTGCAGGACTCTGGCTGCACCTGACTGAATTGGTTCCACAACCTCTGGGAGTTGCAACACAAAATTTGAGAAGTGGCAGTTGGATAGCATCAGGGATTCGTTTTTTTTTTTTTTTTTTTTTTTTTTGCGGTACGCGGGCCTCTCACCGCTGTGGCCTCTCCCGTCGCGGAGCACAGGCTCCGGACGCGCAGGCTCAGCGGCCATGGCTCACAGGCGCAGCCGCTCCGCGGCATGTGGGATCTTCCCGGACCGGGGCACGAACCCGCGTCCCCTGCATTGGCAGGCGGACTCTCAACCACTGCGCCACCAGGGAAGCCCGATTCGTTTGTTTTTTGATGGCTGATGGTTTTCCCAAGCCACACCAGATGGGCCAGCTCCCCATGATGATAATAAGAAATATAATTATAGTCATCCTCCATCTGTGTTGTGCGTGGAGCACTTCCCAGTTTAAAAAGCACGTTGAAAGTACAAATCCCGTCTGATTCCACTTAGTCCCTAGAGGGGTCAAAATCATAGAGACAGAAAGCAGAATGGTGGTGGGGAATTCCCTGGTGGTCCAGTGGTTAAGAGTCTGCTTGCACTGCAGGGAGTTCAGGTTCGATCCCCAGTCGGGGAACTAAGATCTCGTAGGCTGTGCAGGATGGCAAAAAAAAAAAAGCAGAAGGGTGATTCCCAGGGGCTGGGGAGGCGGATGGGAAGATCGTGTTTAATGGGGACAGAGTGTCAGTTTGGGAAGGTGTGAAAGTTCTGGATGTGGATGGTGGTTGCACAACCATGAGAAGGGACTTAATGCCACTGAATTGTACACTTAACAGTGGCTAAAATGGTAAATTTTATGTTATGTATAATATTCCTGAGGCATCACTGCTGGCAGCACCAGCATAGAGCCAGGCCCTCGCTACCCAAGGTGGGCTCAGTGCCTCTTTTCTGCCCACCGCCCACCCCACCCCAAAGCACAGGGTCCCTGGGCGATGATGCATCCAGATGTTGGGGAGGCAGGCAGGCTCCCCTGGACGGGAGAGGGAAAGGGGAGCCTCACAGAAGTCCCCACTGTGCACCAGACACTCTGCTCGTGGTGGTGACCTCTGGATAAAATCTATGAGCGTGTGTGTGTGTGTGTGTGTGTGTGTGTGTGAGACACGACGGGGCGGGGGGAGTGAGACCATGAGGTGCTGAACACAGTTCATTAAACACACCATTTTATAATGAAATCACGATTCCCTGACTTGAAACCGGCTTCTTGCTAAACCTGCACCTGTTTCCTCCCCTCTCACCACCCCCGCCCAAGGCTGGTCGGAAGAGAAGCCCCAGCCTCACCCTGCTGAACTCAGGCCTCGGCTGCTCCTCTTCCGCTGGCACTCGGCCGCCTTCCTGGGCCTCTCCAGGCCCCAGGGAGATGCTACACAGGCGCCCTTGGGAACTAGGGCAGGAGCAGATGTGTCCCACCCAGGGTCCCAGGGGTGGGGCCGGCAGGGGCTGCAGTGTGAGGCGGTTGAGCCCCGGATTCCGACCACAGCAGAGCAGTTGGCGGGTGCCCCTCTTGGGAGAGGCCCCCAGGAGCAACGGCCATGGGCCCTGGAGGGGGCCGGGTGCTGGGGGCAGGGACAGAGAAGGCCCAAGCAGAGGCCAGGGCCATGTGGGCCAGGACGCACCGGGACGGCTACTGCCAGAGAGGGGAGCCGGGTGCACCTGCTGACACCCCTCCAGGGAGCCCACGCCAGCGGATCGGCCAGAGGTGCCTTTGACCTGAGGGCACATGAGGCCCAGGACAGGCCAGTTGGGCTGTGAGGCCCGCAGGGGTCAGAGCTGTGTCCCCAGGCACAACTGGCCTCTAATAGTGCTGGGCCTGGCCGTGGGCGCCCATGGCCTGCTGCCCCCGACGCCAGCACCGCAGAGCACGGCCCCCCGCAAGGAAACCCCGGCAGGAAGCAGCCCTTGGAGCCTGTGGCACAGGTAAGGGGCCGAGGGAATCATGGGGGGACATGAGGGTCCCTGCAGGCAGAACTGGGAGTGGGGACAGAGAGCGGGTGAGGGGAGAGGGGCGAGAAGGGAGCATCAGCTGGAGAGGAGGGGCCTGGGCAGACGGTGGCTTTATTTGAAGGGTTGACATTTTGTCCAGTGTGCATTTGTTTGCGTTAATTTTTATTTTTTTATATTGTATTAAAATATTTATCTGAATTACTGAGTTTTTTGGTGCCCCTTACATTCTGTACCCAAGATTAGTGCCTCGCCCACCTCGCTCTGGTCCTCAGGGTAGAGCAGGAACAGGGAGGCAGGGGCAGGAGGGGGCAGTGGCTGCTGTCATCCTGGGATCCCTGGGGCTCCTCTTAGCTGGTGAGCCACCTCCTCGCCCTTCCCCTGGCTGGGCAGGCTCTGGTCCCTGGAGCACCAGGGCGCAAGCTCTGGCTGAGGCTGTGTGGTGAGGGGACCTTCCCTGGTGTCCCCGGGTCCCCCAGCCAAGGACCACCTCCTGCGACTGGTCCCTGGGAGACCAAGCCCACCAGGGTGCAGGCACCTCCGTGAGAGAGGCCTGGGCGAGGGTCCGTGGGGGCCGCAGTCTGCCCCTGCTGCTGCTGTGTGACCCCAACCCCCTCCTCTCTGCTTGTGGTGGGAGGTCCCTGGACAAACTGCTGAGCATCTGGGACCATTTGTGATGATCAGTGACACAGCAGCACATTCATCGTGGGCACTGACCATTTAGGGGCAGAACCTCCCTCTCA